TGAAGTCCTAATGCCTAGGTACCTCAGAATGTGACTGTATTTGGACATAGGGTCATGAAAGAGGTAATTAAGTTAAAATCAGGTGATGAGGGAGGGCCAGTCCTACCAATCTGACTGGTGTCCTTCTAAGAAGAGGAGATTAGGACACAGACAGACACAGAGGGAGACCATGTGAAGACACGGGGAGAAGACGGCCATCTAGATGCCAAAGAGAGAGGCTTGTAGAGAAACCTGCCCTGCTGACACCTTCATCAAGGCCTTCCAGCCTCAGAATTGTGCGAAAATTCATTTCTGTTGTTTAAGCCACGGTGGCCCTTTGTTACAGCAGCCCCAGAAAACTAATACAGTTAATGTGGCTTGATTACAGGTAAGATATTTTTCTTCTTCCAATTTCTTCCTAAAATATTTTAGAGTTGATTTAATAACACTGGTTCTAGCAACATGAATATCCTCTGCCGAAGCTTATTCTCTCTCCTCTCCGTGTTTTTGTTTTGTTTTGTTTTGTTTTTTAACATGGCGTCACAAAGGAATGGGAGCAGGATGGGAAATTTTCAGCTTCGTGATGCTGAAAAAATGCCAATACCAGGATTTTCACTCCACAGCAGACTACTCTAAAGGACAGACTGGATAAACATGAACTCCAGAAAGCTCACTGTCCTAAGCACCTGGCCACATATTCCTCCAGTTACTTATAAGAGTTACCCAGCGCGTCTCCTGAAGCACACCTGTCCACCAGGGAGGGTCCAGCCTGTCCCTAACGCCGCAGTGCCCTTTAAACATCAGGTCAATAGTTAGCTAAACACCTCAAGGTTCTGGCACCCTAACTGAATAAGAGAGAGTATTTTCAGAAATGGGGAAGGAGTCTGATCAAAGCCTCTTGAGGGTGGGAAGAGGAGCAGGAGGGCACAGAATGCTGCCTGCTTTGCAGCTCTGCCTAGAACTCTCCACATCCTGGGCTCAGGGTCCGTTAGTACGGCACAGGCCAGGCGAGAAGAGGCAGGAACAGGTCCCCTGACTTCCAGGGTACAGAGGAGTATGACCAGGCAGAGCCAGGAGGAGGCTCAGCAGGGGCGGCTCAGCAACATTCTCAAGACAGGCAAGATCTAGGAAAGTAGAGCAAAAGATGGGCAGGCAGATGGAAATCAGAGATGGATTCAGTGTAGGCAGGACTCTCTCTCTTCTCAATTTTTCTCCTCTCTTTCCCCCAGAGGGAGAGGGCTGAGGCCTGAGTGGGCCTCATGGCGGGTGTCCTCAGAGGTGGGCTGCAATCCCAGGGGTGGGCCTCAGGGCTGGGACTCCAGTCTTAGAGGCAGCCTAACAGGAAGAGGTCAAAGCTCAGATAAGGATCCTAGAATAGATGCCCAGGGCCCTTGGGTCTGGCTACCTGAACACAGCAGGAGTCTGGTCACCAGACATGGGGCACAAGAGCACGTGGGGGACTTGCAGCAAAATTGACTTGTTGCTGGTCACCTAAGCAATCAAATTAGGAGTTTCTTATTTACCTGGCCTAATGCATACCAATTAACAATAGGTGCTCAATAAATGTTTTCTGGATGAAAGAGAAAAATTAAGGAATTAAGGACAAGTAAAATGCACTCAGTAGTGATAGGCTTGGCTTCACGGCCTGGGGTTAGGGTGGGTGAATGGAGTAAGTCAACCCCACTGTGGCATGCCGAGGGACAAAGATAGGGTAAGTTGTGTCATTAATGCATCCCAGTGCCACTGAAAGCATGTCAGGCTGCCTGAGCTCCCATGTCTGAGCTGAGGTGTCAGGTCTAGTTCAGAAAACAGCCTTCCTTGGGTCAACCCTATCTGCATCAGGCCCCACTCAGTCCTCTGTCTTCTCTGGAAAAAAGGAGGAGAAAGAGAAATGAAAACAAAGAAATGGGTGGGGGGTTTCAACACTCATCTCCCTGCTTAAGTCTCCAGCTTTCTTATCCCAGGTGGGTACTCAGAAACTCTTTTACTCTTAAGAACCTCAAGAATCTTTCCCTTAGGAATGCTAAGGGCTTCTCATCAACTGTTTTAAAGTAGGGGAGTGCAGCAAGCAGACATACAGTACAGGACTAAATAGTAACAGTGATCCCAAGTATAATCAAGTCTCAAAATCGTAGATGAGGACAAGAGGAATTCACATATTTCCGATGCAATCAGCCACCTACAGAAAGCTCCTCTTGAGAAAGAAGTAGCTTTGGGTCCTCAGGACCACACACACATACATAGTCGTCCTTGCAGATAAATTTCATTACAGTGAAAGGATCCAAGCCAGAGAAACAGACACAGGTAGAGAGTCTGGAGAAAGCTGTGCAAGGGCTTCCTCTTGTCTCTCCCTCCCGTGAGGGTGCACCCCAAGCACACACCCCTTACAGCAGCAAGCAATGCAGTAACACGAGAGTGATGTCTGTGCCTAACACGAGAGTGATGTCTGTGCCAAGATTTTTACTGGGGGCTGGTCATTTAGGCACTGCCTGCCTAGCAACCATCAAAATTCCAGATTCCCAGAAGGAAAGCAGGTGCTCACCATAAACCATGCTGCTTACACAGAGTCAGACACAGTGAACCATCCTGATCAGTTAGAGAATGGAAGGAACGGTTCAAGCACAAAGTTCCCAATGCCAGCCAAGGGCCAACCTCGCGAGCAAGCCCTTTTGAAGACAGCAGCCCCGGGGACTTCCCTGGTGGCACAGTGGTTAAGAATCCACCTGTCAATGCAGAGGACACGGGTTTGATCCCTGGTCCAGGAAGATCCCACATGCCATGCAGCAACTAAGCCCATGCGCCACAACTCCTGAGCCTGTGCTCTAGAGCCCGTGCGCCACAACTACTGAGCCCACATGCCAGAACTACTGAAGCCCATGCGCCTAGAGCCCATGCTCCACAACGAGAAGCCACCGCAATGAGAAGCCAGTGCACTGCAACAGAGTAGCCCCCGCTTGCCACAACCAGAGAAAGCCTGCACGCACCAACGAAGACCCTACGCAGCCAAAAATAAATAAATAAATTAATTAATTAATTAAAAAAAAGAAAGAAAGACACTGGCAATAATAGCCTAGTTTTTTGTTTTGTTTTGTTTCTTTTGTGGTACGCAGGCCTCTCACTGTTGTGGCCTCTCCCGTTGCGGAGCACAGGCTCCAGACGCGCAGGCTCGGCGGCCATGGCTCATGGGCCTAGCTGCTCCACGGCATGTGGGATCTTCCCTGACAGGGGCACGAACCCGTGTCCCCGGCATCAGCAGGCGGACTCTCAACCACCGTGCCACCAGGGAAGCCCGCCTAGTTTTAATTTTTAAAAAAACAGCAGCCCGGGCTCTGTTAACTCTTTCCTGCTATGGTTTGTAAATGAGCCGATGAAACTGAATGGTATTAGGGAGCCCAACCTAAAAGCTGCATTAATTCATTGTAAAACATTGTGTAATCTTGACTACCCAAGCATTACCATAAGATACAAAACTATGCTGCAGTTACAGAATGTTCTTGTGACTAGTGAAGAAGACTGAAGAAGGCGAGTTGAGCTGAAGGTGCATTTTTCAGTTACTGAGTGAGGAAGGGTGCTGCCACTCCTAGAGCCGCAGGACCCTCTTCAAGATCATCCAGTTCCCTGCACCCTCTTCTCCAAGTCCAGCAAGCAAACTTCTGATACAACTTTTGGTCCTTCTCCTAAGAAGAGAATGTGCTGACTAGCTGGCATGGATTTGATTCCATAAAGCAGCACTGTCGTCCATCACTCAGGCTCATGCAATAACAGTGATCGTTCATTAGGCACCCACCTGCCTCCCTTTATTCATGTCATTCTGTCAATCTTCGCAATACTTGTATCAAGTATGGCCCTTGTATTTTGCAGGGGAAAGCAGAGGATCAGACTGGCGAACTGACCTGCCCAGACTCACACGAATGCAAGTGAATGACACAGGATTTAAATTCAGGTGATCTTATGGCTACAACCCATAGTCTTTCCATTCTATTGTACTCCTCCTTTAACTAGAAGTCAGGCTGGCATCAGTCTCCCAAGACCTGCTCACTGTACAAGTCTGAGAACCTACAAAGCCAAGGAAGGACAAGGTCACTCTGCCAAGGTGTGTGCAACAGCCTTTTAGCTTCACCTCCCTCACCAGAGCCATAAAACCACTCCCAAGCGCTCTTCTGCTGTCAGACAACGTTCTTTCCATCCACCAGGAAGCTGCAGGGAAGAATAATCCCATCCCTTCGTGCTCACTCATCATCACGCCCTGGTGGGGGAGGAAAGCTGCCCTTTACTGTCCACCTACTCTGAGCCAGGCACTTTCTGCCTGAACTCATTTAATGCTCAAGAACCACTTCATTTCACAGATAAGGACACAGAAGCTCTGAGGGTTGAAGGAACGTCCAAGACGACATACAGTGACGGTGCAGGGACGTTCCGACTCTAAAAGCTGCGTTTTTCCCACCGTCCCAGGCACTCTTGAGGCTGCCTTTCTCCCAAGATAAGGAACCCCCGGGGCCTGAATTCTTTTCTTCAAACACCCTCTCTCAGCCGGTCTAATGCCCCCTCTAGTCTCAGAGAAAAACAATGCGCAGCAAATGTGCGTCTCAGAAACCGCTTCCAGATACGCTACTTCATCCGCCCTTCACCACTGAGGGCAAAGCGCGGAAAAGCGCCCCTTCCCCGAGGACGGCAACGCCCCAGAGTCAAGAAACAGAAGACAGGGCGAGTGGGGAGCCGACCCCAGGCTCGACCCCGGCCCTCGGCTCTGCCCGCGCCCCTTGCCGCCGCCCCCGCCCGGCGGTGTCACCAGGCGGCCCCGCGGCTCAGCCCGCCCGAGCTCACGGCCCTGCCCGCCACAGGGCCCCAGACCTCCGCCTGCCAGCTCCCCGGCCCTCGGCACCTAGCCGCGCCGGCTCCTCCTTCAAGAGCACCCCGCGCCCCCGGCAGCCGGGACCCCCTCGGCCTCCCGCAGACCCCCGCCCCGCCTCCCGCGCCCCGGGCCCCTCCCCCTGTCAGCCCGCGCCCAGCCGCCGAGCTACCTTCTCCAGGGATGCCGGTCTCTGCACGGCCAGGGAGCGGGCCAGCGACAGGACCGTGTTGAAATAAAAACCCCGTGACGCGCCGGCGCCGGAGCCCGAGCCGGAGCCGCCGCCACCGCCTCCCCGGGCCGCGGCCGCCGCCATCACCTTCCCGCGGCACCGCCCGCCGGCTTCCCTCACCGAGATCTCGACCGCCGAAGCTCACGGCGCAGGCGCGGCTCCATCCGGCCTCCCCGCCACGTGACCTCTCTGCTGCCGACGCAAGCGGGGCGTGGCCTCGGGCAGATCCACCGCTGGGGGGTGCCGGGAGCCGTGCGGCCTGCGGCGGTCGTGAGCGCCGGGCGTGGCCCCCTCCCCCCGATGCGGTGCACGATGGTCGGCTCCGAGGCAGGGCCTCCGCAAGCTTCTGGCGGAAGGAGTTTGCGCGGCGCCGGCTACGGGCGTACGGGAGCTTCTGTAGGTTCTCTGCGATACTGCAGCTGCCCCGTGGTGAGAGAGCGCCCCTCGCCTCGGCCGCGCCCGGCTCCTCCCGCCTGCTCCAGGCCGAGCGCTGGCGCCATGTCGGCCTATCCCCGAAGCTACAACCCGTTCGACGACGACGCGGAGGACGAGGGCGTCCGGCCGGCGCCGTGGACGGACAACCGCGACCTCGCGGACTGGCCCGGCGCTCCCGCCGACCGGCAGCAGGCCCTGCGGCAGGAGGTGTTGCGCCGGGCCGAGGCCACGGCCGCCAGCACCGGCAGGTCCTTGTCCCTGATGTACGAGTCCGAGAGGATCGGGGTCGCCTCCTCCGAGGTGAGTCCGCGGTCGCCGGGTCTCCTGGGGGCTCGACCGGTCAGCCAGGACGGGTCTTGTACTTTGGTCACTGGACGGTCGGTAACAATCTGTTAGCTACGTAGAGACGCGCGTTTTCACACCCGAAAGGGGCAGTTTGCCCCTGGCGATCTCCTGAGCTTAGTCCACAGGGTTGTTGTTTTTCTACGCCTCGTCAGGGGTCATTTCCACGCTGTTCGGTCCAGGTAAGTAGGGATTCTAGACAGCAGACCCCGGGTTAGGGACGTGGAGGGTCTGTTTCTTTTACACATTCCCTGGACAGAAGCCTGGCCCGTGGCTTCAGCCCTTCCTCCTGGAGTGACCCAGCGAGGACTGTGCCTGCTGGTGTCAAGCGTCTGAGGAGATGGACCTTGGGTTCTTCCCGGCCCTGAGCGCTCCTCCGCCTCGCTAGGAGGGGAGTGAAGGTCTTGTCTGCCTGGACACTGCTGAGTGCGCCGGAGCCCGAGTCTGGTCGAGTCTAGGGCCTTACGTTTCCTTCCCGATACCGACGAAGATGTCCTAGAGAGACGGGGGCGGTCTGTGACAGTCTGCCATCCCAGCTTAGCTTCTGCAGTTCTTCTTAACGTCCATAGGTGGTTTCAGAGAGTAGGACCTTGGGTAAGAGCTGTTCTTTTTTAGGCGCCACATTCTCGCCTCAGCGTACTAATGAAACAGTTGTGTTGTGCATTTCTTTAGAAAGTTTTTTAAAATGTAATAACCTGTGATTGCTATATCACGTAAAAATAATTCAATTTAAGCATTTGTAGTTCTGGAAGCTAAAGCATCATGTTCTTCCCTGGGTCTCTTCGTAATTCTTTTCTCTGGGAAAGTTCCCTCTGACCTGGTCACTTACAGTCTTGGACAGTCTTGAGGTCCGTCCCATCATTCTCCCGTTACCACTTCCTTGGGTTATCTCCCTTCCCCACTTCTCCTTATCACCAGATCCCTCAGTGGCCCACCTGCCTGTCTTTAGCCTCATTGAGGAAGTTTTGCTTGTGTCTACTGGATTCCTACATTACAGTCTAAATGGAAAATGTTGACTTAAATTTGGGAGGATTGCCTGAGGTCTTAGGGCCCAGGTGGAGGGGTCACTTGATTAAGGGTCCCAGGCCCAAGGAAGCCAACTAAGAACGGTTTAAAAAGCCATCTTTGGGGACTTTCCTGGTGGTCCAGTAGTTAAGACTGTACTTCCAATGCAGGGGACGTGGGTTCGATCGCTGGTCAGGGAACTAAGATCCCACATGCCAAGCAGCACAGCCAAAAAAAAAGACATCTTTGGCAACTGAGAACGGGTGAAGTAGGAAATCAGAGTGACAGAAAGTAGAATACTGTGGCAGAGGATACCCTGGAATCTGGCTTCTAAGGCTAAGGTGTAGATAGGAGGAGGAGGAGGGACTTCCCAAGGAAGAGAAGAGTCACGCAAAGGCACTGGCCCAACGCCACAGCTCCTGAGCAGGAAAGTGTCGCCCAGGAAGCCTTCCAGGAAAGGGCCTGGAGGAGGAGCTTAGGACCCAGTACAGTCAGAGGGAAGGTCAGGAGTGCCAAAAACACAGAGGATAACGTTGTTTCATAAGGATTGTGGTGACAAACCCCATGCTGCCCCCAAAGTTCCTTCTTTCCTATAATGGGGACCATGAGAGCAAAGGCAGAGTGGCACCTCGGGCCGTGAGGCTTGTCATGGCCAAGCCAGGTGTTGCTGTGAGAGGTACGGTATGATCATGACTGAGCAGGTGACAGGCTCTGTCATCAGTGCGATTACACATGGAATTTTTCCAGGATTGAATCAGTTCTCAATTATTGGAGGCCCTGGGAGGCAGGAATGGTCAGCACCCCCGTCTCCACCCTACCCCATAATCTCCAAGTTGTCTTACTGTCTTTGAATCCCTTTCATCGCTCTTTCATTCCCCTGGGGGATTGGGGGGGGTTGGTGGTGAGCTCTGTCCCAGCAGACCCCAATCACCACTAAACTAACCTCCTAACTTAGACAGGTGCCCGTCACATACCCAGCTGAGAGGTGCCGAAACAGGACACATGTTTTAGACGCTGAGGACTTGACTTTTTTAGGCCCAGCGTGGCAGCAGCGGGAAAGTTACTTAGTCAGGTCACCTCTAGTGAAGGAGAGCTGCCCTTCTCCTGAGAAACCTGTAGGGTTCACCTCTCTGGAAGGCTCTCGCCTCAGGTCCTGACCCCACAGGATAGAGGAGAGGTGGGCCGGCCTGGGGAGCACAGTGCAGAACCATAGAGACTTGTAGGCCACATGGCTTTTCCACTTCTCAGGCATGATTTGTTTCTTCTTTTCTTTCCCTAAGGTATAATTTTTGTGAAGTGATAATCTAGTCACAGGGTTCAAAATTGAGATGATACAGAAGGCTGTGAAGGCTGCTCCCGCCCGCTGCCCCCCTACCCCCTGCCACTCACCTTCTGTTCCTGCAGTGTCCCTGTGGAGATATTCTGTGTATAAAAACATGCTTAGGGCTTCCCTTGTGGCGCAGTGGTTGAGAGTCCGCCTGCCAATGCAGGGGATGCAGGTTTGTGCCCCGGTCCAGGAAGATCCCACATGCCGCGGAGCAGCTGGGCCCATGAGCCATGGCTGCTGAGCCTGTGCATCCAGAGCCTGTGCTCCGCAGCGGGAGGGGCCACAACGGTGAGAGGCCCGTGTACCACAAAAAAACCCAAAAAAATGCTTATACTTATCTTTTTCTTTTTTTTTATAATTTTAACTTAAGCAGAAGTGTTCTGTATATTCCACACTGCACGTTGCTTGACAAGGTGGAGGGCATTCCATAGCAACACGTGATGCGCTGCTCTTTTTTTTTTTTTGGCCACACCGAGTGGCTTGTGGGATCCTAGTTTCCCAACCAGGGATTAAGCCCAGCCCAGCAGTGGAAGCGCAGAGTCCTAAGCATTGGACTGCCAGGGAAGTCCCATGCTCTTTCTGCGTCGTGGTCCCTCTAGTGGATGGCTTCTGTTTCTGCGACCAGTCCCCTAATGGTTTGCCTGTTTGTGTCCCACGTGGACGCAGTCTTCATGTGCCCTTTCACCACCCTGGCCAAGGAGACTGCCTGCCCCCTCTGGCTGCTGAGCACGCGCCAGTGATGTTTTGTGGGGCCCAGGGTCTCAGTTCAGGGAGTCCAGCAACAAACCTTGGATGAGGGCCTGAGTGGCCAGCTTGGTTAGCATCAGCGGAAAGGGAGTCGGGCCAGGATGCTCTCAGCAGCCCGGCCAGCACATCCTGCACACGGTCTTGTGTGGGGCCCCCTCACCTCATTGAGTCTTTCCAGCACTCGACAGTCGCCAAACCCTGCTGGGCCTTCAGTTCAGAGAGGTGGGCCACATGGGGACGGACACCTCTGCAGCCTGGGAACGGAGGCCATCGCAGCTCTCTGTTCTGGGTGTCCCCGTGAGTTGGGGTGGTGCCCTCATCCTCTGGGCAGATCCGTCCCCTCTCCAGGTGAGGGCCTGTACTGACCAGAGCCTCCCCTCCAAGGCAGCCCGGGCTGGTTCTGATGCAGCCAGAGTTCTTAGCACAACCCTATCCTGAAGCAGAAGCTGATGGAGGGAGACGATCAGCTGCTCGGTTAAGTAATTCCCAGTAGATTTTATAAAGGATCAGTGATTGAATTCAACTGTTGAAAAGTTCTAGGATCAAACTTGCTGGCTTCTTAGCTGTGAGGCACCTTGTGAGGCAGGGTCTTTACCGTCCAGGCAGGTCATACATCCCATACCAGCGCCGTGGCATCTGGCTGTGTCTGCTGCTCCTTCCTAAAATGTCCACCCGTGGCCTCCATGGTGTCTGGGAGACCTTGCTTTGCTGACCAGGAGTTGTGCTAGGGAAGCCCAGGGGCTGTCTGCTCTGCAGCCTTCTGCCTCTGAGAGTGAGAAGTGCTGTTTAGAGGTGTTGTGGGGGTCTCCAAGAGCACCCTCAGGTTTAACGATTCCCTAGAAGGACTCAGAATTAGTAGAGCTGTTATACTCAGGGTTGTGGTTTGTTACAGCAAAAGGATGCAGATTAAAATCCTCAAGGGAGACAAGCTGGTGGGCAGAGTCTAGGAGAGCAAGCACAGCTTCCCGTTGTCCCCTTTCTGTGGAGTTGTGTGTGCAGCCTGCACTCCCCCCACTGTGATGTGTGACATCCAGGAGGCACGGCTGCCCGCCTGGCTGACTAGAGTCTCCAGCCCCTCCAGAGGTCACACTGTGTGGCTCAAGGCCCCCCACCCTGTAAACCACATTGCTGGTGCAGACTGTCAGGCTGACCTGAGGACTCTGGGAAGCAAAGTCACTCTTCAGGCTAATACGAGGGCAAGGAGCCAGACAAGGCCTTTCTCGGGAACACACGGTGTGAGCGGCCCGGGCAGCCTGCACATGCAGCGAGGGGCACCAACCTTTGCCCTTGGTGGTTCTCTTGCCACCTAAGACCACTCTACACTGTCACTCCTGCCGGGACGGAGCCCCGCATTCAAGCATGTTCCCCGCCAGCTCCTGCGTCCCTGCTGGTGCGTATGTGTGTCATGCTCCCTGGGAAGGGGAGCGACATTGATGGGGGTAACTCTCAAGTTTCTAGATTCAGCGTATCGACTCCAGATCGACCTCTGCCTGCTGGTTGTTCAAAACCAGAGTTTAATCGCAATCAGGACAAGACACTTAATGCTGGCACCTTCCCCTCCAGAGCTCGGGCGGGACTCAGGTTAGGGTGGGGGCTGCGCCATCCCCAAGTGCTGGCTGAGGATTTACAGAGAGCCTTCCTCTGCGGGTGACGGGGAGCTACAGAAAGTGCAATGCCATCACGTCTCATCCTCCCTAGGAACTCGTGCGCCAGCGAGGGGCCTTGGAGCGCACAGAGAAGATGGTGGACAAGATGGAGCAGGATCTGAAGACCAGCCAGAAGCACATCAACAGCATCAAGAGTGTGTTCGGAGGGCTCGTCAATTACTTCAGATCCAAACCCTCAGAGACCCCACCTGCGCAGAATGGCACCCTTGCCCCCCAGCCCAGCAGCAGGTGAGCAGTGCCCGTCTGGCCGGAGCAAAGCAGCAGAGGGGGGTTTAGTGCGGGTGGCCGAGCCTTTCAGGACACTTCTCATGCCTTAAAGGGACCAAAGGACCCTGAAAGTTACTCACTGGGAGGGATTTGTCTTCAGACATTTTGAAACAAGAAGCGTTCTCCACTGCTGTTGATTGTGTGATGTGACTGCTGTTCAGTCTGCAAACTCTGCGTGAATTGGGTCTCCATGAATTACTGCTCCTCGTAATTTGAAAGAGAGAATGTTCACTCTAATCAGTATAAATGTGACTCACTTCACAGAATTTTTGCTTTAAAAAGTTTTCATGTCCAGCTTCCCCATATCTAATTCAAGTTGCCCATTGATTATCATTTTAAAATCAGAGATTATTTTCCTCAAAATTTTTGGCTAGAGGTATAATAAAATCATACTGCAATTTTGGCTGGCATATAAATGCCATGTGTTCAAACGTAAAGTAATTCAGTTTCTGCTAAAACATGATTGTTGCTCATATGTTAGATCGTTGTATCTGTCTTTTATTATAAAGACAATATCACCACATTACAGAAAATCTACACCTTACCTACCATAACACAAAGAATGTAGGTTGCTCCCCTTATTCAGTGTTTTCATAATTGCAGTTAGAATATTCATTTGGCTTTGTATCTTGGTCAGAAGAGGCATTTGATTTTCTCACATGGGCACTGTTAGAAAAGACTGCATTGTCACAGGTGCTTTTCCTTTCTAAAAGTTTTCTTCTTCTCGTAACTTTTATCCAAAGGTTGAAAGAAGGCATAAGTACAAGTAAAGACCAGGAGGCACAGTACCAGGCCAGCCACCCAAACCTCAGGAAGCTCAATGACTCAGGTCAGTGCTCCCGCCCACACCCGGGTTCTGCGGGGACACCTTGCACTGGGTAGGGGCGTCGGGGGCCTCAGTGCCTCTCTCAGGGAGCAGGGGGTGTGCGTTATGGCAGGTTCAGCCCTGCTCCCCCGTGGAGGGAGGGATAAGGGAGTGGGAGCCTGGCCTGTATAGCTCTGAGATCTTCAGGCAGGGAAACACCTATGCTGAGTAGGATATGACCCCCCCGGACATCCACGGCTTAATCCCCAGGCCCCAGGAATATGTCAGGTCACATGGCAAAAGGGGAATCGTGGTCGCAGAGGGAAGTACAGTTGTTGATCGGCTGACTTGAGGTGGGGAGATTATCCTGGGTTTTCCGGTTGGACCCAGTGAAATCGCAAAGGTCCTTTGCAAGTGGGAAGGAGGCAGAGGAGAGAGTGATGGAGTGAGAGGTTTGAAGGTGCCGGGCAGCTGGCTCTCAGGTGGAGGAGGGGCCGCTGCTAAGGATTGACCTCCAGGGGCTGGAAGGGGCCGGGAATCGGATTCTCCCTAAGTGCCTCCAGGGGAACCAACCCCACTGACACCTGGGTCTGAGGCCAGGGAGACCCAGGTTGGACGTCTGACCTCCAGAACCAAAGGATGGTTTGTGGTATTTTGTTGCAGTGACAGAAGGAGGCTAATGTAGCCCCCAAGCCCCAGTGGGCGCAGAAGCGGCCGTGTGGACAAAGAGTGTGAGATAGGAGGTGTTTTGTGTCAGATCGTCCCATTAATATCAAATGATGGGCCCAGAAACATCCCTCATTTGGAAAGGAATCAAGGCCTCCTGGGGGCTCTGTCGACCCCTAGAGAGCCAGGCACATTGGAAGTAACCAGATGCTTCCTGTGCCGCCTGCGGGCACAGCCGAGGGGAGGCCTGGCGGAGGAGGGCCAGGAGGTTCATCTGGGAAGGCAAAAGCCGCAGAGGAAGTGGGAGAAGACTGTGTGCTGAGGGGCTTCCGTAGGCCATGCTGAAGGAGAGACCCCAAGTCTAGAAAGAGATGGTCCCCAGAAGACATAACCTGGGTGACAGGGCTTTTCTGTGTGCATTTGGAAACTGAGGTTCAGAGAAGATTTCTGGGGGCAAATGTGCATCATTTAACGTTTCTTTTTCCGGAGCCTGTGTGGGTTTGCGTGGTGGCTGCTCCAACTGCCATACCATTACGTGCATGAATCTCTTTCCTGAGCTCGAGGGTCCGTGGCTGACCAGGTGACCCATAGGCTGGGGTTCTTTGATCTCCGAGGGGCTGCCCTCAGGAAGCGTCTCCCTCCCACCCCTTCCCTGTCCCCCGCCTGCCTCTCTCAGTGGCCTCAGAACCAACCGCCTTAGTCCTTCCACCCGTTTTCCAGATTAAGATGAGTTTTGTGAAGCAGCATTTCAAGTGTGTCAGTTAACCGTCCTCCTGCTGTTTCTTTGTCAACTCAGACTCCATCCCTGGAGGGGCCGATTCTGCCATGAGCTCCGAGGCTTACCCAAGGAACCCGCACCTGCGCACCTGTCACCAGAGGATTGACAGCAACCTCGGTAAGACCAGAGCACCGCCACCAGCACCACGGCTTGTGTGCACCGGGGCCCCCCGTTGTCCACCCCTGCACACACACACGCACATGCGCGTGTGCAACATCCCAGCCCCTCACCCTCTCTGGGGTCTGCCCGCTTGTCTCCGTCCCCACCTCTTGTCTGGGAGGTGACAGCGACAGGGTCAGGGTCTGGGGACTACCCTGTGCAGCCTGGGCTCTGCCCACCTCCCTCACCACCCGGCCATGCCACCCTGCTTCCTCCGTGTGCCCTGGGCTCGGGCAGGGTCAGGTGAGCAAAACTGGAAGGCTCGCGGGAGGCGGCCCAGCAGGTCAGGCATACATGGGGCCAACAGCACCTTGGCCGCGTGGCCAGGCACCCTGCTTCCTGGGCCTCGGGCTCCAGGGCGCCCTGTTGTAACCACATACCTGCTGGCTTCTCTGGTGTCTCCCTAACCAGTCTCCAGAAACACAGGAGAAGTTCAGTTTTGTCCCTACTTTACACCCAGGGCCCAGAAGGCGAGAATGGAGAGAGGAGGGGGTTATTTGCAGTTGGGTGGAGGAGTTGGCCCCTCAGCAGCCCCCTCTGACCTTTGCTCCCTGTGTGTGAACCTCCCCCATGGCCACCCAGGTCACTTGCCAACCCTCCTTCCCCTTAGGGGATGGCAAAGAGGGTGAGACAGAAAGGAATGCTTCCCCTGCTCTCTCCTCCCAGGGGACGCGGGCCCCCAGCTCTCCCAGGGCAGTGCCCACTCCAGCAGCCCGGGCTACTGGTACAGACAACACGTGAGGCAGACCCACATCCTTTATTAAACCTTCATTTAACCTTTGTTTCTCAGCACATAAACTCATTGTAGAAAACTGTGAAGTTAGGCAAGTGCCCTAAGGAAACCAACACCCAAATTCCACCGTCCAGCAGTGACAACTGCTTTGGTGTCATTCCTTCTGTTTCTCCACCCTGAACCTCAACTGCTCTCTGCCCTTGGAGCCCAGGGGCACCCCGGAGGTCACTGTTTGCTTGTCCTCTGGACTCGGCCCTGGAGCCGAAGGCATCAGGCAGAGGGTGTATCTGCCAGGCCTGACTCCAGAGAAACACAGGGACTGGCGGGCCCCCCGTCCTCCCCACCAAAGGTTTCCCCACCAAGAAAGGCTGGCACTGGTGCCTGCTGGAGGGAAGACCTATTGCAGGGGGCGAGATTCAGGAATGCAGGGAGTGCAGCAGGAAGAAGACCAAGGACAGCCTACCCCAGAGGCTGAGGGTGTGCATTGGGTCGGCAGGGTGAGCGGGACACAGAGCAGTGCAGGGGACCCCAGCACGGCCGTCCATGGTCCCTGCTGATGGGGCCACACCACTGCCCCGGGCAGGTCCCTCTGCCTCCTGGACGCCCGGCCCTGCTGGCGGTCCCTTGCCAGGTGGCCCTCCCTGATCCAGCTTCTCACCCCAGTGCAGCTCCTTGTGGGTCCCAAGCCGTCCCAGCTGCCGGCAGCTCCCTGAGACCTGGTGTCCTTACAGCTGTCAGTGTCCATGGGACACAGGGGCACAGGCTTTCTTTTCTTTTCTTTTCTTTTCGTTGTTTTTGTTGCGTTGGGTCTTTGTTGCTGCACGCCAGCTTTCTCTAGTTGCAGAGAGCGGGGGCTACTTTTTTTTTTTTTTTTTTTTGCTGTACACGGGCCTCTCACCGCTGTGGCCCCTCCCGCTGTGGAGCACAGGCTCCAGACGCGCAGGCCCAGCGGCCATGGCCCACGGGCCCAGCCGCTCCGCGGCACACGGGATCCTCCCGGACTGGGGCACGAACCCGCATCCCCTGCATCAGCAGGCGGACTCCCAACCACTGCGCCACCAGGGAAGCCCCGGGGGCTACTCTTTGTTGCGGTGCACAGGCTTCTCATTGCGGTGGCTTCTCTTGTTGCAGAGCACGGGCTCTAGGCATGCAGGCTTCAGTAGTTGTGGCACGCGGGCTCAATAGTTGTGGCACATGGGCTTAGTTGCTCTGTGGCACGTGGGATCTTCCTGGACCAGGAATCTAACCCGTGTCCCCTGCATTGGCAGATGGATTCTTTTTTTTTTTTTTGCGGTTCGCGGGCCTCTCACTGTTGTGGCCTCTCCCGTTGCGGAGCACAGGCTCCGGACGCGCAGGCTCAGCGGCCATGGCTCACGGGCCCAGCCACTCCGCGGCATGTGGGATCTTCCCGGACCGGGACACGAACCCACGTCCCCTGCATCGGCAGGCAGACACTCAACCACTGCACCACCAGGGAAGCCCTGGCAGATGGATTCTTAACCACTGCGCCACTAGGGAAGTCCCAGGAAGACCATTTCTAAAAAATCTGATTCTGCTTAGATTTATGGTGCCATTGCCAACTATTTGTGTATTTTGACCTTTTTCACTTAATGTTTTATCTTTAACTTAGTGAAAAGGCTTACAAAGCACCACCTCTTCTGTTTTCCCCCAGCTCTTTCCTAGTAAAAGGGCAGAAAGCAGCTCTGGGTGTGACCCCGTCCCCATACCCTGTGCACATGCACACACACATTCAGGGCACACACATGCACACACACACACAGGGAAGGGGCTTTATATTCATCTGGACAGAGTCAGTCACGTCACGACTCCCCTCTGCGGTCTGCACAGCCCCATCAGGGGACCCCGGGCCCCTTGGCTGGTCTCCTCCCCACTCATGGTCAGTTCTTTCTTTGTCACTGTGCTAAGGAAGCCCTTCACATACTCGAGGCTGACCATGTTCTTTTGGAATTTATTTCTCTTAAAAATGAATTGAGATTGATTTTTACAACTTTTTTAAAAGAAGGGAAATACTTATTATAAAGACTGGAAAAGCCTGAGGTGTATCTCAGATGTGTTTCCAAATGGGGATCTTCCTCTTTGCCACTCTGGACCTGTGCTTGACCCAGCTTTAGGGAGCTGGGGATGTAAGGTTCAAAGGCAGCTGAAAGGTGTGTGGCTCTATATGAATTTCTAAAATAAACACCGTGTACTAACAGTGGGTGTCCTGGTGGGTGGCAGGGAGGAGTGGCTTTCCTGTTAAGCGCTACTGCTTTCTCTTCACTTGCACATGTTTTGGAGCATGTAACCAACGCCCTGGCATCTGGCCTGTCTTCCAGGAAAGAGGGGTCAGTGACTGCAGTGCTGCCGAGCCCATGGGGGGAGCATCTGGGGTTGCAGGTCCCGATGCTGTGACTTGGCTCAGGCCCATGTGTGCTCTCCTGTCCCACAGATGAGCTGTCCGTGGGCCTGGGCCGGCTGAAGGACATCGCCCTGGGGATGCAGACAGAGATTGAGGAGCAGGACGACATTCTTGACCGCCTCACAACCAAAGTGGACAAGTTAGACGTCAACATCAAGAGCACAGAGAGGAAAGTTCGGCAGCTTTGAAGACGGAGGCGGATTTCCACTCCATCGTGATGAAAAGATTTGAAAGGTCTTCTTTTAAACGCCCAAGAAATTTCAGTTATTACTTTAGAATGTGATTTCACATGTGTTTGCAAATGTTGTAACAGAGTGGGTCTCAAAAGAGGTTTTGTCGTAGAGAAAGCATGTGCCCCACTTCTCTGAGGGCACTGACTGGAGGTGTGCGGGCAGAGTGGTGGTCATGCCGGCCTCTGCTTCCGTCTGCTGTGCTTCTCGTCCCCAGGCCTCCGCGAGGTAGAGCGCTGAGGGCCATGTGACCCGTGTTTGTGGGCATCCTTCTCCCCCCGACCCCCACGAGCACATTGTGATGCTCTGAGCCCCTTGGCGGGCGTTTGATTTTAGTAGGAGGGGGTTCAGACCAGCCCTACTCACTGTGACGCCTGGAAGCACATAGGGAGCTGGGTGAGCCCCGCTGCCCCTGCACAGGGTCAGGAACACGTTCTGCCCTGGCTGGAGGCTCCCTGGCCAGCTGGCTGAGGCCTGCAGAGCATGAGAGAGGAGCATCACACAGACGTGCTCCACCAAGCTCCCTGCCCTCAGGTCACCTGGACCAGGCCCCCCATCCAAACATGTTTACTCGGTGCCTTGGGGTCCCCTGGCCCATCCAGGATTCCCACCCACTCTTCTGTGCTGCTGGCAACATGCCTTGACCCATCACTTGATTCTCTGGCCCCAGTTTTAGGACTGGAGCTCCACTAATGACACTGACTGTGCACAGAAGGATATGGCTTTAAAAAAAGCCCAGATGTTATCATTCTACCTGGCCTAGCTTGTTCTCTCTTCATTTTACAAAAAAAGAGAATCATTTAAAAGTACTAATTAAAATTGATTTCTGTACTTAAAGGAATTTCTTTACGTTGGTACCTCCAACAAAATAATTGAAGCCACGAGGTCCTGGTCTTTTTAAAAGCAAATAAATTAAAATATTTTGAAGATGGTGAAAGGGACTGATTTTAATAAGACAGATTAGGTTGGAAACCTTAAAATCACAGTGCCTTTCACCCTGAAACCTGGCCCCGGCACGGTGACCTTCACCACTTTGGTTCAGTAGAATATAAACAAAGTCCCTTAAAGCAAAGGAACGTCTTTAAGGGGCAGCAGCAATGCAACAGCGTTTATGTAGCAATTCAAATATAAAAGTTCCATCCCATAATGCCTGACTTTCCTAAAAACACTGACAGCCTCTGTGGGCAGACACATCTTTCTGTCATGTTCCAACCGCCCTGCGAGTCTGACCCACATCACTGGGAATGTCACAGGGCGTTTGGATGCTGTGGAAGGTAATCAGACCCACATCTGCTTATCACAAGCCCATCATGGTTGTTCTCCTGGTAACTGGAAAAAGGAAGAATTTTACATGTCCACCCGGCCTACACTGAACGAGTTCACAGGGCCTCCAGCAAAAAGGCTGCTCCAAAGTGTGACACCAGGATGCAGGGCAGCCTGGGGGTGCCCGTCCACCCGGCATGTTCCAGGGTTTTCCTCCCTGATGCCTTCCTCAATGGGTGTCATAATAACTGTTCCTGCTCCTTGCCCTCAGGCATAGACACATGGAGATTAGTCAGCACGCCTAGACCTGAGCTTCTCCGTTCAAATAAATACAGACAAAGGCCACTGCCAAACACTGTCTGCAGCCCTCCTCTCACATAATGGGGTTAGTGATTTAACCAATTTGAAGCAAAGTAGCACCTTATTTTGTGTCTTTTGTTGGATTGATGAAGCCGATCACCACCACCCCCTTTTTTACCCCAAGCTGTGGAGGGAGAGTTGCCCTCACTCTTCTAGAAACGTTTCCCTCACACATGTCTCCCCGTATATTTGGTTCTGTTCTTGTTCAGATCCCTCATTCTAAAGCCTGGGCCAAGGGCCTGTCTCATCCTCGTGCTGGGCAGCATCTCTGCCGGGTCCCCACCTGCTCCCGCACCCACTGAGGGCCAGTGGCTGCTGCTTCACACAGCAGAGCCGCTCACACTTTCAGAGAACAAAGCAGGACAAGAGGAGCCTCCAGGACCTGCGTGTGGTGACTGTGAGCAGAGGAAAACTCTGCCCTCTGGACGCACGTGTCAGGGAGAAATGGGGGTACCCGGCCGGGGTTGTCCTTCTTGCCACATGGGGTCCAGAAGACAGATCTGGAATTCTACGGTCAACCTGGAAACAAACTGTGCCTTCCAAAAAGTGGCTTTTCTAACTCAAGGTTGGTTACATGTTAAGTGTGCTCCTAACTTAACAATAAGCACGTTTTCCTTCGGAGGAACTTTTTAAAGTAGTGATTTGTAGTTAACAGTGGCAGGTTGCCTCGTGGACGTCTTTTTTGCGTTATATAGGAAAGGAAACCTGAATTTACCTCAGGTGGCAAGAATGGAAGTACATAAGTGCTTTTTTTTTTTTTTTTTTTTTTTCTGTACGCGGGCCTGTCACTGTTGTGGCCTCTCCCGTTGCGGAGCACAGGCTCCGGATGCACAGGCTCAGCGGCCATGGCTCACGGGCCCAGCCGCTCCACGGCACGTGGGATCCTCCCAGACCGGGGCACGAACCCGCGTCCCCTGCATCGGCAGGCGGACTCTCAACCACGGCGCCACCAGGGAAGCCCACATAAGTGCATTTTAATTTCTCTTTCTTTAACTTCTTTTTGTGAATATGTGATTTTAAGTGTACACCACAGCAATTTAGTAAAAATCTTATACTTTGCCTACATAGGCCTTTTCTGCAGAATTTTTAAAGTTACCAATGTTGTTAAGCGTCTTCAGCTCTGATGGGTGAAATGTGTACAAAACGATGAGCGAGTCATTAAAAGTGCACATGGGAGGAGGGGCTTCTGCTCAGAGTGTGTGTCAGAGCAGCTCTTGTACTTCATGCCTTCAACTCAACAAATGACCATATTCCTTAAAATAAAATGTGGAGTTGTTTTTTAATCAAACTTTGCCTCCTGTGAGGTCCTTTTCAAAGAGCTGGTGGCGGGGGGGGGAACCCTCCTTGTTGAGTCCTCAGGTGTTTGGTTCTGGCTGCCACGTCTCGTGCTTCTTGAAAGCCTGTCAATCCATCTGTCCTGCTTCCCGGTGCCTCTGCAACGCTGTCCAGCTCAGGGCTTGGCACACCCTCAAGGTCCAGAGATTGGATGTTTTAGGCTCACAGGCCAAACAGTATCTTCACATCATCTTCCCTGTGTCCATCCCTAATGACCTCACTTTAAGTTAATTACCTCTGTAAAGACCCTGTCTCCAAATGTCACGTTCTGAGGTTCTGGGGGTTTAGGGCTTCAACATATTAATGTGGAGGGGGGTGGCAGGGACCTGACATCTGACAGCCTTTATCTTCTTGGTGGGAACAGAGAAAGAGGATGGTAGAGGTGGATCATCAGGGAAGGGCTGTCAAAGGCCCAGCTGAGATGGGGACTCAGAAGGACCCTAGTAATTAACACCTTTTATAGACTTTTTAAAATAGTGGGGTTTCCAGCCCTGGAGTCACCAGGTGCTTTCGTGGCTGGAGTTCAAGAGCAGGCCTCCTGCCTGGGGCTGCCAGCAGAGCCGAAGAAGGCAAGTGAGAAGCCAGAGCTCTGGCCTGAGGCCTCGGGAGAGGGTCTGGCTCCTTGATTGGATCACCAGGCTGAAGTGTGGGTGCTGGCCCTGGAGCTTGGAGCAGAGGATGACTGACACGGATCTTTGCACTTTAGTGCCTCGGATTCTCCCAGAAGAATTCTGAAGTCTAGGCAGGACCCGACTTGAAAGTAGGCCAAGAGCCAGGAGTGAAGCAAGTCGCATGAACGTGCACAACACTGCTTCCCCCACAGAGGCGGCTTTTAGGGCTTTGGGCCCACAGAGGCCAGAGACAAACCTCAAACCAGGGGCACCTCCAGGCCATTTAGAAATTAAGTCAAAATCAAGTTCTGCTAGGGTTTGATTGACTTTTTTTTAACATTTTACTTTGAAGTTTCAGTTCTTGGAGACAGGCTGGTGCTAATCATGCCAACCCACCACTTAAAAACCTGCTCTGGGGCTTCCCTCGTGGCGCAGTGGTTGAGAGTCCGCCTGCCGATGCAGGGGACGCGGGTTCGTGCCCCGGTTCGGGAGGATCCCACATGCCGCGGAGCGGCCGGGCCCGTGAGCCATGGCCACTGAGCCTGCGCGTCCGGAGCCTGTGCTCTGCAACGGGAGAGGCCACAACAGTGAGAGGCCCGCATACTGCAAAAAACAAAAACAAAAAACCTGCTCTGGCTCCCACCACGGTTACAACAACAGTACTTTTAGGGGAGCTAGCACATGATACCACTTCTGCAGCCCCAAGTGGGGGTTCCAGGCCCACAGGCCAGAGCAGGCCAGTTTCTTACAGAGACTCACCAAAGTAACAATGACTATTTTATTTTATTTTTTATTATTTATTTATTTTTGGCTGCACCCCGTGGCTTGCAGGATCTTAGTTCCCCAACCAGGGATTGAACCCAGGCCCCAGCAGTGAAAACACCGAGTCCTAACCACTGGGCCACCAGGGAATTCCCAACAACGACTTTTAAAATGAGCTAGAAGGCCATAATTACTCATTTACAACAAGAAATATAATTGTCAAACAATTTAAGCTGGAGTGTAAGCTGTAAAGTCGATGGGACTCCGGAGCTTGTGCCCAGTGCAGGGTGAGCACTCAGCAGGTTTCTATAAATGAATGGCTTAAAAAAAACGAAGGCCAGAGGGGAGTGAAATTCTTGTCCAGTGGGTACATGAAAATGTGCTCAACATCACTAGCCTTCAGGGAAACGCCAAGTCAAAACCACAATGAGCTATCACCTCACACCTGTCAGAAAGGCTGTCATCAAAAAGATAACAAAAAGTGCTGGTGAGGGGCTTCCCTGGTGACACAGTGGTTAAGAATCCACCTGCCAATGCAGGGGACACGGGTTCGATCCCTGGTCCGGGAAGATCCCACATGCCACGGAGCAACTAAGCCCACATGCCACAACTACTGAAGACCGCGTGCCTAGGGCCCATGCTCCACAGCAAGAGAAGCCACCGCAATGGGAAGCTCACGCACCACAACGAAGAATAGCCCCTGCTCGACGCAGCTAGAGAAAGCCTGCACACAGCAAGGAAGACC